TCACAGTGACAGTCGGCTGGCGATTTTCGATAAATAGGGTCCTAAGTGATAATAAATATTAGGCCCCTACCTGCCCTTCGCGTCCCCTGTCCCCAATGTTGTGACAGACTGGTCCAGCTCGCAGCGTATAGAAAAGTACAAGTTTCACAACGCCAATTAAAATTTTACATTCAATCAACCTCAATCAGCATTGACATGACATCCAGTGAGACATGGAACAACAGTTAAATCTCTAATTACAAACTACAATTAAAATTCAAATGTTTTAAATAAAAAGCCTACGCGGAAAAAACTGAAACTAACCAATAATATAAGAAAAAACAGGAAAAGTGACTAACATAATATACAGCCTAGTGATGCATACAATGTAAGAAAATCAACCGAGTCATGCCCCACTAAAAGCTACGATAACCGAAAGGAATGTAAAACAAGGTCGGAAGACGTTAGGTAGCAGCCTGAAATGAGCAATAAAAGTTGGTCATTAAAACTGATTCGGGCCAAGAGCGGACACTAAACTAAAAGCAAAGCATAGCTGACTAAGATGTATGTATGAACGATCCTAGAAATAGAAAAAATATATCTAACATGAATGAAGAAAAAGGGGTATCGCTGGACATCTACTTAAAGACCATTAGTTTAGTCTATTATAGCAAGCTCCTAAAATGTTTAGCCAAAGTTATTGCTATTCTATAATGCTCATTCCAATCCTTGCTTTTTGTGAAAAAAATTTATGCACATTATCCTTAATAATCTCCTTCTTCAGCTCTAGCCCGATATTGTTGATGGCCCGAACCTGCTTTCTTGTACTTTCCGGACGCTGGAGCGCGACAGCTAGACTCAATCAACGTGTTGTTTTTTCGCGGCATGGAATTTAGAATTGCCTTCTGCGATCGAATGCAAATTTAAATTGGGGGGGGGACAAGCTGGTAACAATTACAATATTGGCCCAATTTTTAGGAAGCATTTATTCCTCTATTTAAATGTCGTAGAAGGCGATGGAAAGCCTGATTTACATGGAAGCCAGGCTCAGGCCTCAGCACCAAGATTGGGGGATCATTATTAGAGCAAACTAGGCGGGCTAATGAAAATCCGGATTATGATTACTTATTTGCCAGAATTTTCATGTTTTTAGGAGAGCACTTCCTTGACCCTAGGCTATGCTATCGGTCCAGTTTAAAATGCCTCCTGAAGCACGCCTATGAAACAAGGGTTGTATCGGATTATCCTGACCGCGATTCTTAAGTTTCATCCAACCCCAGCCAGCTTGTGATTAGCCTCCATGCGCCTGAGGCCAGCCACGTTGCGACGGATATTGGACTGAGAAAGCTGAGACGGGACCTCAGTTTAGATTGCCTCTCCTGACATACATTTAAAATCTTTATTGCCCGGAATGTTTAAAAGAAATCTCTCTGTTTTACCTTAATTACGCGTAGAGCTTATTCGCGCCAAAGCGCTCCTATTTACCACGAAATCTGCACACGATTGAATGAACCTGTAATTGCTTTGAATAACTTTTTAGACTGGACGGCTTTGATAGACTATCAATCGATAAAACTCGCTGATTTGAACACTGGTTTTTAATTTCCACCGAATATATTCTTTACTTTTTAAGAGTTAAAAATGCGTCTATGCCCTAAACCATTTACGTCTTAAAATATGATTATTGTTCAATAGTTTTCCGGCCGATCAAAATTTGTTTGGCCAAACTTTCAACTCTGCCTTTAAATTGAAGATACTGCCGATGCTGAACTTAATGATCCCAAATGAACATGAAACTTTGAGATGCCAACTCTGAACTATCTTTTTCTACGCACTGAGTATATCACGACAGGGATTACTCTGAAATAGACTGCGTCGCAGAATATTTTATGCTACGATAGACCTTACACAACCACCACAAAACAACAAAAACAAAATCTTTTTTATTAAGAAACAGTAAATTTATGCTTTCAGGCTATTGTTCTTTAATCTTTCCTGTATCTTAATTTTCTTAATAGATTTCTTAACTTCGCTCTTAAATTTATAGGTATAAGCAATGCGATTTCTACCTTTACGTTCTGTGGAGGTGTTCAGGCCTCTTTGCCCGAACAAAGTGCGCCCTATGAGACAAACTTAATTTGCCGCAATGTTTTAATATCACTGAAAAAGCACCCACACATGCGCCCTAAATCTCGTTTTTGAGATTGTGACGTGTTCATAAATTTCATTTTTATCAGGTGAGCCTCAGCCTCAGCTGTTCTTAATTTGGTTCTTAAATTCTTGCACCCATTTTGAGGCTGTTTCTTATAAAATTTGTTCTTATAAAAAAGAGTGTAATTTATGTACGATTATGACATTTGATATTCTTTATCTCGACTTCCCCCTTATCCGAACATTCGCTTTTTTGAGTAAGTGGCTACACCATTTTCCCCTCGTTTCGTTTTTTTTTTTTCCGATTGTTTTTTTTTTCGTGTAGGCGTTATGTGTAAAAGTAATTCACTATCCAGACAACGGTATATCTCGCAAACTTGCTGCCTCTTCGAACCCTATTTCAGTTTCCCTCTAGGAAGCAATACCCGCTTATCTCAAATTTCTATCTTTTTTGAATTGATATAAAAGAAACGTGCGTGCTATAACACGCTAGATAATCTTAGTGACCCGTTCAAAGAATTTCGGAGGAAGATAATAGAACCTGCCAAAAAAAATTAAAAAATTGCCCCAGCCCAAATGCGCTAGCGACTTCGGTCTGTGACGCCCAGGCCAGTAATTTTGCAGAAGTCGGATGCAATAAATTTATGGCCATACAATAACTGTACAAACTGAGCAAAGAGGAATAATCGGTAATTTCGGGCGCAGGCGGTATGCGCATAAATTAATTGAACTGACACCGATAAATTTTCTAATTTTGCTGGGTATATCCGTTGTATTATCAATGGATTTGCCAATCCGCCCGAATAACTCTCACGTTTCCCATTGAAGTATTAGGACTAACCACAAAACAACACAACATCCCACGAGGCTATCCAACCACCTCACACAAAACACGATAAAACCCATCGAGACAGTGTAAACATTTCCAACTATTTCCTCATCAACACACTATGCCGAAGAACCTCACGTCTACGGATGCCATTGGTGTGAACACCAATCGCAACTATAAGCTGCACACGACACCCACACAAACCATCAATACCTCACTCAGATGCACTCACAAAACCCCACACCCACGCCCCCCACACAACCACACACACAAAGCTCGCACTAGCACATATATAAACCCACACAAACTCTCCCAACCACAACATAAACCACTCATGTACCGATAACTCCAACCCAAAGAAATCCTCTCACTGCCCGCAACCCAGAATAATAATACACGCAACAAGCCCCGAACCAACCACAATGACTCCTACACAGAAGTCGATGCCTTTTATTCTATCCTTTTTACCTCTAATGACTCCCACCCACACCCACACCATCAAATTCCACCCACACCACTACAAACAAATTCCCCCATACCCCCAATCATACCAGCAAATCTCTACATCACTAATGAACCGCCACCTCCCCCTACTTCGCCCCACATTGATCAAAATATATCATCTCACCACCATTCGCATCGAAATCATCCCCGGTCACACCCAAGAAAATCAATTTACAAGAACACATATATATACCACCCTTCTTGAAAATCACGTTGTGGCTTGCGTTCACTCAAATCTATAACCAACAACCCCCATACGACAGCACCAGACAACAGCCAAACCACACACACAAGCCCCACACAACCCACCATCCCAACAAACTCAACCAAACCCACCAACACAACCAAAAACAAACCACCACAAACACCACACACAAAACACCCTACCCACAACCAAACCAACACCTACAAACCACCAAACCCACACCACAAACATCCTTGAAACCACCAACCACAACACACACCAAACCAAACCACAACGCACACCACTTAACAATTCAAACAAAGATAAACTCTCTCAGACAAGAGCATTATCGAGCTCAACCACAGAACAAACCAACATCATACACACAACAAGCCAATGAACACATATACCCACACACCAGCCACACCCCACACACACCAATACTCGAAAAACAAACCCTCACGACTCACACTCACACAAACACAACCACGCCACCCAACACCCCACAAACCACATAACGATACACTTGCTAAACCACAACCTTGGAAAACTTTGAACATGATTTATAAGCCCCCCTCGCCTATAAGCCCCCTCCCTGGACATCAGCTCCATTAAATTTGATAAGCCTTAGAGGCTTTTTCCTGGATTTATGGCTACTTTTCCAATTTCACCGAATTGGCATGAAAACTGATAACCTACAATTCCAATGTTCAATTTTCAAGGAAAAATCATACATCACTTATCATTTGACATATTTTACTAATTCTGAATTATATAAAAAGGACGTATGAGGCTATAAACATCCTAGCACAAGTAACATGATTTTTCGCGCGCCGACAAGCAGAAGTTGAAACATATACTATAGCATTCAAGTAAAGAACTGTAAAATATTTTAGCAAAGAAATCTCACCCGCTTGGATGTTCCAAGTGTTTGTGCCAAGCATTATTTTACTGCCTCGGGTAGACTGCATTAACGAGGGTCATGATAGTGGGGGGCCATTTAATTTCCTCTTGCCATAGCTGAACATGTTTTAATCCCAGAAGACATTGTTTGTTCTCCAGCCATAAATTGTCACTAACCTCCTTGTGAGAAAAAGAACTTATACAAAAAATAAATTTCCTACCACTCAAAGGACCGATGCACACTTGCAAAGTTTCATGGCGTCGTTGATGAACAGAATTGCCTGCCAGCCTACGCGCTACGCTATTAAACCAAGGGGGCTATTGGTGCCAAACAAAAATTCCAGGGGCGCGCGGCCAAAGAGTTTAACCCTGCCACACTTTTTAAATTTATTATTTTTATTTAATAAAGCATCGTCTGATATCTGCATGCCCAATCAAAATGAATCGTAAGCGCTCATTAAGGTCATAACCAGAACCTTCGCTAACTGCCTGCTAAACCTCGCTAAATGCCATCTAGGCTTGCAATGAATATAAAGTAAATGTCGTTTGGTGTTAAACAAGTTTTCTGTGGGATTATCTCGACTTTATTTTTTTTCAGTTGTTATATTATTTATTATATTTCAAGTATATCGAAATTTTATACACCCTTATCTACCTTGTATTCTATTAATTTTTTTATGGTTTCCTGTTTTGTTTATGATAGCTCCTGCTGACTTTGAGAAAAGTTCAGCTTGAAACTGCTATAAAGCTAATATTGATATTTCCTCTTCTAGTTTCTAGATGCAGAGAGCTGAAATCCGCCTAAAGACATTACAAACCATGTGTTCAGTCTTGTCGATTGCGTTTTCTTCCCGATGGCCAAATATCTGTGTCAGGAACAAGCGCCGATTCAACGGCCTCAGCGCTTGAGAGTTACAATTACATGATTTGATTGGACATATATCCTTTAAGGATCCAGTAGAGAATATTGCGCCAATAAAAGATCAACGTGCTACACGTGATCACTATAAGTACACTTATAGAAAGATCACGCTGCTACACCACACCTCATTCATGTATTCACAGAGAGCCCCTCGTGTCTTTACCAACCTGCTTCAACCAAGTCGGTTTTATTGTATTACGTCACTTGACACTGTGGAGTAGAAGTTCTCGCCGTTTTGTTATCTAAACCTGCCCTTTCACCCCAAAAGTCTCTTATACATTTAACCCTGAAGAGCAGGGTCTTCTAACCGGTGCCTAAAATGTTTATTCATTTTAACTACTATTATTGGTTTTGTTAGGATTTTTCTCACGTATTTCTGACTGTTATACGTAATTATCCTGCACTTTCTTATAAGTTTGCTTGGCAAAATATGGTGGGTAACCCCTAGCAACAATTACAAACAATACAAACAACAACAACAACATACAACGTTAATAGCCCAGCAACAGCAAAAAGATTTGAGTTGTGCTGATACACACCCCCCCCCCCTGTCTAAAAGGAAAAAAACAAAAATAAATCAGACCTATTTTCAATGCCTAAGCAGATTATCTTAAAATACTTAAGAAGAACATCCCGTGGCTTCGCCTTTAAAAAGTGGCGGTTGTTCTATGACAGCCAGCTTTGCCTTACAACGCAAGAGAAAGCGGCTGCAAAAATGTAAATATAATAAAAAAGATGTTCGTTCTTTGAGCTCTATTGAACGACTTTTTTCGTTGTTGTTGATAGTTATTACGGGCTTGCTGGTCGCTGCAACACAACTGGCTTAATTTGCCGGAGCGTCTTTCATTGACTCTCTTCATCATTCCCGCGGACATACTTATTACCAGAAATGCATTCTTCTCGCGCGCGCGAAATTTAGATTTCACCATGGTTTTTTCTTGGCATCTCAAGGTATTTCCATCTTATTCCATTATAAGTAGGCCATTGTATTTGTGGATCCCAGTTTTGCAAAGTCAGTCCACATTCCCACATTGTTCTGCCTGATTGTTTCGTTCTCGCTCGCCTAAAATTTGCTACCAGAGTCCTTGAATTCGCTTAGATCCTGCAATGGAATACAGGGCTTTTACCAAATATGAAATTCGATCTCGATAGCCATGTGCCCACTCCCCAAGTCGTACTCTTGCACATTATTTTGGCATGTGTGCCTGAAATGAAAAGGTATGTTTTTGCTCCTTTGTCTCTTGCCCATGCGTCGGCCCCAAAATTTGAAATCCCGATTTTCTGAAATCAATAGTCATTAATGAAATCATTAATGCCCCTAAGCAACATATTCAGCCCACGCCCTATTTTCTGCTCAAAGTGCGTGTTTATAACTCAAAAGCTGCCCATGTCAACAACGAGCCCAGCTGCGTCATTTTTCATGATTGCCCATTGTATCGTTCATTGAAGAAACCCCTGTATAAGATCATCCATTTTCTAAGACTAGGGATAAACATGCGATCCTCATCTTTATTAAACCCTAGCCAACAGCTCAACCCTGCAAGCATGGAGGGTGCTCATTTTTTTCTGGCCGGCGGCTACTAGTGATCACCACACCGTCAACCGTAGGGTGCTGACACAGGCCGATGCGCGCCTCAAAGCAGTTTTCTAACACTCCACTTCAAATGTAGTTCCTGACCAGCTTGTACCTCGCGATGCAAGTGAGCGCTTAGATTGTTCAGTAGTGTTACAAGTACAAGAGGTAATCCTTCTCCAATCTTGCCCGTGCAAGGCCTGTTGTTTCTGAGGGTCTTATGCACGGCCCAGCATAATTTTGATGGCACCACTTTGGGCTATGACTCTTTTGCAACAGACCTTTTGCCAATGTGAACAACCATCAGCCAATGTCACACTAACCGGAACCTTGCCCACTTTCCCAAAAAAATGTTACCTGAAATTTTAATTATATATTAAAACAAAACAACGTAACCCAACAATAAACACCCAATTTAGATAAAACGCGACACAAACCATCATCACAATGGATATGCCATTCAGAATTCAACAAACAACACCCACCGAAAACAAAACACACAAAAGAATTAACACAAACAATTCGCACAACTACACCACCACCACCACCAAACAATTCCAAACACACTGCCGCCAAAACAAATAATACCATCCAGTGAACCAGACCAGAAGAAGAAACAAAAAGCAGCACAGCAAGAGATAATCGTCTTGGCGCCAAGGAGTGCATGTCGGAAGAAGCAAACGAGGGGGGCGAGGATGAGCGAGTGGAGAGTGCCGTGCGAGGCGCATGGAGTGGCGGTTCGACGTCAACACACTGCCGTCGCCCCCAGGTGCGGGGCGCGGGAGGGGCGAGGTAGCGCGCGGGTGGTGTGCGCGCAGCGCCGAGGTCGTGAGTTGACCATATGACATGGCGCGCGGCGTGCGGCGCCGGGGTAGGGCGAGCGGAGGCGTGACGGGTAGGGGGTTGCGTGTGGCGAAAGGGTGTCCCAGACGCCAGCCCAGGAAGGGCGTGGAGTGCAGTGCGTCCGAAATCAGTTGCCGGATCGCTGAGAGCGCGGAGGTGCGTGTGGCATATCTAGGCAGCGGCGGGGGTTTGATCGTGCGGCGCGTTACCGATACCGTGTATTTAACCAATCTAGAGTGTTGCGTTACCTCGGTTCATCCGGGTGGCGAAGGGATAAAGGCCGTGAAGGTTGCTGCGGAGCGAGCGTAAGCGATATCTCGTCCTTAAAGCTGGCGTTGGTAGAATGGCATAGCGTTTGTCCCACCTTTGCTACTGGCGCGTGTATTGGAGGTGTGTGTGCCGACAAACCTGAGAAGCCAGCGAAGCCAGAAGCAAGGCGCGGACCACTGGGCGTGCGAGGGAGGGGGGAGAGGCGGGCAGAGGGAGGGGGAACACAACACACCCCAAAGCGAGACAACCGGGACACAACCAGAAGAGAGCAACCGCCACCAACACACAACCGCCCGGGCCGTAACTAACGAGAAGATGGAATATACGGTAGTGCGGAGATCACGTAGGAAGACATACGACGTAATAACAAAGCTGGCAAGGCGGCGTTGCGTGACTAATCAGAACTCGTAAACCTTACAACAACACTCCTGCCGTCGGCACCTAGTGTCACTCCCCTTGTCATGCACTTTGGCTCATACGCAATATTTGCGCACATCGTGGGGCGTCCCGCGTTGGTGGCTCTCGAGTTAGCCCGGACCATATGCTAGGCTTGTTTTTGGCGGCCAGCGAAGTGCACTGCACACCGATACGATGGATGCCGGCGTGGTGTGTACTGGGCGCGGACATGGTCTATCGCGTAAGAAACTCCTATTCGTCCTGCCTTTACGACCCAGAGGCGTGTTCTTGGAGAGCGAAGCAGGTGTTTCCTGGCGCGGAAGAAAAAAGTTTCAAACAGGGGAAAGGGCGTTGATCCAATATGGGCGTTGTCCTGAAAACACCTTTAGGTCCCCCCCCCCCCCCCACTTATCCCAGGCTGGAGCCGCCACTGAATACGATACAGAAGGAAAAGGGTGGTTGAGAATGATCCTTTGAATATAACCGAAATCTCACAGCTCGCCCCATTATCAACATTAGCTTTGAGTCGGATGTCCTGAAAGAGATAAAACAGAAATGGAACGAAAACAAACAAAAAAAGGACTCTTACTTCATTAACTGAGACAGGATACCATTATGGAAGGAGCTCAAGCCATCATTGAACCGTAGTGTTGGTTTTCCTTTCAGTATCGCGACTACATATTCGACTGCAATTGCAGCAAGGAAAATGGGTAGTGCCTTTAACAAAAAATGAATAAATTAAAGAATTCATATATGTCAGAGATAGAACAAAATAAATTCTAAAAACAGACAATCAATATTTGTTCTGTGTTGTGCGTGTTATTTGAGGAAACAATTCAGCAACATTACTTATAAGAAAAGAGGGGTTTATTTCCAGTGCTTCCTGCACAGCATATTAGTCTACCTTTAATCAATATCATTTTATGGTGTAAAATTGACCACGAAAGACTGCTCATCCGTAGAATCACATCTGATGTCTAACGTTCTGATAAACTCAAATAGATATCATCAATCGTGGGACTACCATATAGCCAAAGTAACATCTTCATACTTCTATACAATATCAATACTACAAAAACAAAAAGCACATTCTATTCAAGTTAAAGGGACAAATTACAAAGCTCCTCGTTTCATTCAATACGGAATACACAAACATATTTCTCGACCTCTTGCATGGCTTCTCTAAAGGATTGCAAAAGTTTCAAAATTCTGTTGCGGATTTCATTAAAAGCCGGCAACCGGTGACAGTCTACCGCTTACTCATCAAACCTTCACCGTCTACCTTCACTCTTTAGTAAGACTGCACAAACTTCAGTTAACTTATAGACGCCCATTTTTAAATGTGAGCCTTTTAGTTAAAGAAAATAATGAAAACCTTTACTAGGCCCCTACACCGAATAGAAAGTAGGGGTACACTTGACTGGTTGCCAATGAAGGAACGTACAGCACAGCATTTGATGAAACTTTCGTTTAAGTACATCTATGATCAGCAAAAGTACATTAAGTACATCTATGACCGAGTACATTGACATATCACTAAAGAAAATCCCAGGAACTTAGGGTCCAGTTTTGTACCGCTTCTCGTACCATCATAACCTTCCAAAAGTTTCAAGAAAGAACTGGCAGAGCTTCTCAATAAACTGCCGAAGCGCAATTACCTAAAAACTCATTGCTAACAATGAGCCTTTGCGAGCGTGGCGACGGTCCAAACAATGGCAGTAAACTTCTACGGATTAACCAAAATTGATTTCAGACAGTCTGAAATGCATTATGGGATGCTTGCGTGGCGCAATGGCTCATTGTTAGCAATGAGTCTTTAAAATCAAAGAGAACCAAATTTACTATTCTCACTCCTAAAAATTAGCTTTAGCATTGTAAATAATTGGCCACTCTGTTTTTCTAATTGCTGTCACACTACACAAGTTGATTATGATTATGATGATGAGCTATTAGTGTCAAACATACTACAATAATGACAAAAACATCGAACCTCGTTTTTAGTGAATTCTAGTTTATTTAGCTATAAGCACAAAGGTCATGCAGAACCTGGGAACGTCACAAAACACACAGACGTAGGCAAAATAAATTATCTTTATACATCATTAAAAAGCCCTAAAAAGAGCTGCATTATATACGGTTTTGCCGTATTTATAACGTCATCGATCACCTGATAGCAAAGTTTTCTGGTCCTACACACAATTTTTTATAAGAATGTATTTTATAAGAAAGTTGTGCTCGGTTCTTCAAAAGTCAAGAAAGTTCAGGGCTGGATCTTTGAAAGCTAAGAAAGTTGAAAAATTCAGATATTCAAAATTTCAAAGGAAATTGTGGTGTAAGAGTGAAATCTTTCAACAATACAGTAATGTGCTGCACAGGAAACGACAAATACAGTATGACGTTGAGGGTTTTTGAGAAATATAACATATTTATAGCATTTCATCTTCTCCATCACTGCGCATGCTTAGTAACGTAAAACTCTCCAATTTTACGTTAAGAAAGTGCTAAGAAAGTTTTAATGCTGAAATTAGGAAATAGCTAAGTAAGTATGAGGGCTGGGCTGAAAAAAACTTTCTTATGAAAAACGTGTATCTTGGATTCTGAATCTCCAAACCATACTCGAAAGTATATAAAACATTTAAATCATCTCGCTTGCGTGAGAAATCAGATGTTCACAGCCGCTGTCCTGCCTTATGTTCTATTTGCTATTTGGTCATAATTCGAAAAATCTAAAAAATTATTTTGCGATTTCCTCGCATAGCAACTCAGTTGACAAACTTACTTCATTCAAGTAATTAGGCACATCTTCGACTTTCTCGAACGTTGTCTCCTTTGGAGTTACAGCATAGAACAACCTTCGAATTTGCTCACCAACAGAGGCATTTGGAAAGCGCATCTTGAACCCTGCAAATGATGAAAAAGATGGCTGATTGTTCCGTATTAATACACCAATGCGACTTACGACCTCGTTTTGGAACTTAATTATACGATTTTCTTAAGCTCAGATTTGGTTTTATCGTCATAATTTTAGGCGGGATACCATTTTTCATATTGTTTGAGCTTGTATTTTAGATTTTACCGAGAAATGAAGTTTGAAAACTTGTAAGGGATTTGACCGCAAAAATCGTTCCGGGGGAAACTTTACCCCCCTAGTCGCCAATCACGGTCATATCTTTATAAAGTTTTTAACCCTTATAAAGTTTTTATCTTTATGTCGTCATAAAATCAATATCGTGAGCAATATCATAATGAAAACTTACAATTGGCCTAAAATCATTGCTGTCAATCCGAATCTGAGTTCAAAAATTTTGTACAAAAGAATTTGAAGAATTTTCAAAATGAGGCCGTGAGTCGAATTGGTCTATTAAGCCGGCATACCGTAAAAACCGGACCCTAAGACCCTGAGACCTAGGACCCTAAAGTACTAAAATAAAAAAGGACCCTTAACACCGGAAGGGTCTTCGCCCCGACAAGACAATAGTCGATCAAAGTTGACTGTCATCATCGCACCATGAGGACACATCAAATGTCAAATTCGATTTTGCTCCTACTACGGCGTTCTTCCGCATATTATTCACATCAGCTGCTGTCTTCAAATGAGTCCGTCATGGAGTCATACAGCGACTAGGAAGTTTACGGCAGCCTTTTGGGCTTTTCTAGTTTTCTTTTCTTTACTTTTGTTCCCTTTGAGAGTGGTTGCCACAGAACTGTTGATATTTTCCTGAAAATTTTGCACAATTCTTTATATCCAAAAATGCCATTGGATTATAGAAAATAATTATCAAATAATTTATTGAATTTATTTTTATGCGGGGGATTTTAGAAGCTGACCTCTGTTAGTAGATATCAGTTCCAGAATAATTTCAAACTTCTTTTTACACACCCCATGATTTGTCAATAATACCATTTTTCAGAATAGGGAGGGCAGAATCCAAAAAAATCACGCAAAAGCGACATACAGCAACCAAAGGAAGTGCAAAGAAAGTGCCTGCATCTTCATCTCTGACACAGGCCTTGATCTTGATCTGTGTCTCTTCTTTATGGTTGATTCCAAGAGGTTAAACGACTTTGAAAGATCCTCAAATTCCTTGTCACTTTCTGCAGTGGCGTAGCTAGCGGTCATGCTTGTCATGCCGGGCATGACCATCTATTTTCAGAGTTAACATTTTTCAAAAAATTATATTTTCGTAAGAATAAAGTCCTATTCTCCTGATGAAATAGCTCAGGCCATTCGCCTTTGGAGCCCTATGGTTCCACCAAAGAATATGGAGCCCTCCGAGGGCGCTCTTCTATTGTCGGGCATGACTAAAACAGAGGGTTTCCAATTTAGTCATGCCCATAACTATGAGCATGACCAAACCCTGTGTTTTAGTCATGCCCATAACGCTGGTTCCCTATGTTTGGTCATGCCTAACAATAGGAGTGACGCAGGAGAGAACAAAGGCTAGTCATGCCATTTCGAGAAGGCATGACCATCATTATAATCATCAGAACCGTCCTGTGTTATTTCGTGAACGCGAATGCGAGGCATCGATGGCGGCGCTGCTATGCCTAGATCCACGAGCTGGGAGTTAATTCTCTGTAAGTAAAATGCAAACAAAAGCTGATTGCCAAGCAGCCACGACTCATGTTAATCTCCAGAACATTTTATGGCAACGACAGGGTTTTTCAGCCTTAATGGTGTTGCACTATGTGGAGAAGTGACAGGCACGAAAGACCATTTTGGACATAAAATCAGCGAGCAGGATCATTTTATGCAACCAAACCAAACTCTCAGCCTTTTCAGTAATCAATTGTTACTAGTTGAACATTTGCAGAGAATCTTCTTGATTTAATGAATGCCAAATCTTGGTGCTGTTCACTGGAGATGGATGGAGGAGATAGCAGGTTATTTTCCAAACCAACAGATTTGAGAGCTTAAACTTTCCAGACATTTAGCAGCATATTCAGAAACTGTTAAGCCCTTTAAAAGCATTGTTTCCATATTATGATTAGGACAATAAGATTGTAGTTAATGGATAGGGAATGCCAGAACTTGCTTAAAGTTATTCTTCAATTTTTTGTTTATTATCACATGCAATAACACTGTTTTTACACACAATTAAAGTCAAACTCAAAGCTCTACTGACTTCACTTTTAGTTGAAAGTACTTTTTACTACTTATAGCTGTTGAAATAAAATGACCAGAGACAAGTCAAGCGTGTTACTGATCTTGTTAGTTAAACAGTTTTATTTCACTATTACAACTTTTGATGTATTTGAAAATTTACAAGATCAAATTATTCATTTACAACCCTTGTTTGCTAGATTTAGTAAGGACAATCCAATCATGTGGATATTTACCACAAGTATATGTGGAAACATCAATGTTTTTGTTAAGCTAAACTTATTTTGCAAGGTATTTTTCTATTGAGTCTAACTTTGCAGAAAACATTTTGCAACTAGGCCTATCCATTATTTTAGCTTCCTATATTTCATATCAATATTTACATTGGATATTCATTTGCCAATTTGTTTTATTCATCTATCAATTCTATTGGGGTTGTTAGTTAATCGTGATGGCTTTAAAATACCTTCAACAGATTGATAATAAGACTATTTGTGGAAAAGATGACCAAAAAGCTCCCATTCAGTTTCATGTGATTTATTGTTTCATATACAAATTTTAGCTTATCTCTAAAATTTACAAATGTATTTCAGCCTGCAAATTGAAAGAGATTAGGAGAACAAAACAATTTTTAATTTAAGCTAAGTTTATCTACTATACTAAACTAATGTTTTTTTAATGTCTTTTGTACAGTTCTGTTTGGAAATTGTCAGAACTCTGTCTGTATAAATTACCAACAATCCAAAACAGTGTCACAGCTATAAGATAAAGGTAATTTCATAGTGTAACAAGATGATTGCTATGAAATAAGGAAAGCTCATTCCAAAAGTTAATCACAATTTTTTTATAAGTCACAAGCCTTAAAATTAAAATTTCCAAAAGGAATTCATCAACTAAAAAATTGGGCATGGTAAAATTTGGCGACACCCATATTTTTTCAAATTTGAGGGGAGGGCATGACCACTGCTATTTGGCTAGCTACGCCACTGACTTTCTGACTTATTTGAAGGCAGCAGCTGATGTGAATAATATGCGGAAGAACGCCGTAGTAGGAGCAAAAGCGCATTTGACGGTTGATATGTCCTCATGGTGCGATGATGACAGTCAACTGCGATCAACTATTGTCTTATCGAGGTGAAGACCCTTCTGGTGTTAAGGGTCCTTTTTTATATTAGTACTTAAGGGCAGTGGCGTAGCGTGACTTTTTCAACTGGGTATTCTCTATTAAACAAAAGGGTGGGGCAGGGTGTGGCTCGATGGGGCTTGATGAAAATAGGGGGATAATAGGAAGATTAAAAGGACTAGCTATTGACATTTTATCTGATTTTCTTTTTGGTTCGGTTGGCAAGTACTGCACTGTCAGGGCATTGCTATGATAAAAACGATACTTTGCTAAAGGACCCTTCAAATATACTCTTCGAACTCATTCATTGCATCAAATTACCACTAACCATTTCATCAAAAGTAATTCAAATCAAAACATATCATTGAAAGCCAGTAAAATTTTACTGGTCGAAATATGTCCCAATAGTTGTTGTTGAATCGTCTAACATTTGCACTGATGTAAAGAGGAAGTAACTGTTAACACCTACTCTTAAAACCTTAATACAAAAGGGCTTTCGAAAGTTCCAAAATTATTCACATAGGGCATTACATGAGTTATAAATGATTTTGTGGTATGCAGTATAGACCTTTTCTTCGTGGCCTAATCGTGATATTTTCAATACAAGTTAATATTTGAAAGAATCGAAGGTAATGAGATGAAACTGCACAATAATGCAAATAAATGCGCTCGAATAATGCAAACAAAATAGGCCAACAAGATAACTGAATACACCAGGCAACTATAAGGATATTATCCAGGCCTATCTGCATTTACTTTAATTCTATCACATAATACAAACAGAAACATCCCATTATGTAGCAGCCTACCTTTCCTTTCCACTTTGCTGTTGGTAGATTAAGTTTAGTGGTCAAATGAGAGAATGATTATGAAACAGTAATACGGACATTGCAATAGTTTTTTAATTATGTCATGTTTACTGTTTTCGGTGCAGCTCCATCACTCCAACCGCTCCGACGTCCATTAACTGTTTATATCGATCTCATAACGAGACTATTTTGAACCAACTTTGAGGCTGTACGCTGCATATTTCTCAGCGTACAGAACCATTGTTTTAGCTGATTAACGGCAAATATTATTCATGGAAAGGAGCATTTTGATTGGTTAAAGTACCGTCTAGGGTATTCACTGCGTATTCATGACCGATCTCCATACAACATGAAGTAGCTCAATCTTCAAAATTAGCTTCAAAGATCTCCCAGCTTCTCTATGCTTCGCAGCGTTATTGTTTCCATGAATTTGATGATATTTTGTACTTGTACAAAATGTAGAATATCGGAGGTAACGAATTCAACCAGAATCAATAGCCCCAAAACATTTTCTACTTATTACAATTATACGTCGTATTAATATTTTTTCTGAGAAATCTCAGGGTATTCACTGAATACCTTGAATACCCGGACGCTACGCCACTGCTTAAGGGTCCTGGGTCTTAGGGTCTTAGGGTCTGGTTTTTACGGTATGCCTATTAAGCCTTCTTAAAGTGACAGCTACAGGAACTGGAGTTAAACTTTAGGCTAAAAAGTTGTGGCAGCACATGATTTAAGCCCACCAAAGGTCTGTCAACAGTCACGCAATGCGAGCTTATCTGCCAAAATAATACTTGGACATTTATAAGAACAGTGTGCCATGTTTCCTGTTATATATCAATATTTACTAATGCATATTGCAGAAATGTGGAATAAGTTCAATCAGTTGCATGCAATTGAAGGAGATTTTTATCTAAATGCGCTTGCGTGACTGGGATAAGTAAAAGTTTTGTTACTAGGGAAATTTGATCTTTGGGAATTTATGATGGGCTAAAGCTGCTTCAAACAACCCTGTTGCAAAACTTATGAAATGTTATGCAACTGATCATTTGATATCTAAAGAGTTCCCGTGACTTGAGGTGTTTGTTTACCGATTAGGCTGAGTCTAACATATCCTCAAAGGTCCGAAGACAGTCAATATGTTAATTAACGTGACAAGTTTTGTGCAGCTTCTGACTCGAAGCTCCGAAAGCTGCCTTTCTATCTGAACCAAGTTAACGAAACACGAAAAGCTGTTCTAGCAATACACGAATTCGTTTAGAGAAATCGTCTATAAAAACTTTTTTAAAAATGAGGGAACAAGCCAACCGTAAATAGGCTCTAAAAATAAAAGAGGGGTAGCGAGAATCTGGGTATTAAACGCAAGCTTATTAACATGGAATACATGTTTACCTGTCATTGGACGAAGGATAAGACAATTTGGTTGGTAAGCACATCCTAAACACCCAGCGTGGAATCCATTTAGCTTACGCCGGAGATATCTGGCGTAGACTTAAGATTTCCCTTTGTCTTTCTATTGTTTATTGGCGTATATTTGGCGTGAGCCTCACATGGATTCCACCCTGCTTCCGCTCACTTTACAACCAGCTTTCTTTGTGCTACTTTCCCCCATACTGGTGAAGAAATATTATGGCGGTTTTGAACAACAGCTTTAATTAAAAGTTATTACTTACCTGGCACTTTCTCTAGAACCAGTTCAGTCCTCCCTGTATGGAATCTTTAGGCTTCCCTAAATACATTGAAACTTGAACCTTCGAGGACTTCGGTCCAATCGCATGTTTTAATGTCAATGTTATGCTCCTTCGTAGCGGCTTCCTAACCACGTCATATTCCTTGATTGAAGCTAACCCCGCGCGCACAAACGCTTCTGGGGGTAAGGGAAATGTTCCCCAGAAATTTTTGAGGTGATGGTTGCTAAAATTGCTCTGGTGGCTATTTTGGTTCCTAAAATTGCTATGGTGGCTAAACTGTTCTGGTGGCAGTGGTGTATATAGAACACGATTGTCTATATTTTTCTAATTGCTATGTCTTGATGTGAAAGAATTTAAAGCTAAATAAACATAGGAATACCAAAAAAATATCAAAAGATTTATTTTTTTCAGTTCTAATGTCGTTGTGTTATGTTAAATTTATGAAACAAAAATAAATGCTTTTTAGATTTTTGTCGGAAAATGTAAGTTTCCCACCCCTTCCATGGATTTTTCTATCGATGCCTATCTGGTGACTATTACTTCTGTTAGCTATTTGATATAATTTGAGCATAATTTAAATCTTTAACACCATAAGGAAAAATGAAGATTTCTTCGAAATATTAAGTCCTAGAAAATGGAAAAAGTTTCATTCCTTAGCTAAATTCGATCACAACCGACACTCTTGCAAATACATGCGCAAGTCATAAAGTAGTGTGAATCTGTATAACATAGATATTGCTGTATCTTGTCCTATTGCAATCACATTTTTTTGGTAGCATTTAGAAGCTTTTAAATTCAAACTTCCTTAGCTCAAGCCCACAAGATGAGAAATTATAACCAAAAATATTTTTAACACTCAGGCAGTCAAAGACTCAAACTGCTTCTTCCTTACTTCATTCATAGACTTTTGTCTCTACTAATGACAGTTTGTGGTATTGGAGAGGCTGGATTATTACTTAGAAATTTTTTCAATTGAGTTATTATTTATGGGCCCCTATAGCCAAGGGCCTCCGGGTCAGTGACCCCCTGACCCCCCCTCTCCTCAGCACTGCAACCTATTCTTATTCTACAGCCAATAATTCATCAATGAGGCAATGAGCATGAATCAACTACTAAAAATGCTCCATATTCAAGTGATAACTCCATTTTACAAACTTATATCGAACGCAGAAACATATCAACACACAATACAATTCAAAAAATTATCGCATTTAACTTAGGAATTTATTAGACGCTGCAATTTACGATTCTAATTACAATTTGGGCAATATTCATGAATCAAAAGAGATTAATGAAGGGAAAGGATAAAAATAAGCAGAAGGGACATTAAAATCCGATGCATAAATTCTAAATAACAAAAGTCTTGGTTTCTAGAAAGAATTTTTCTGTATCTAGGGCGACCTCTTGCTTGAGAAATACGGAATCGACGATTCACCAAATTGATAAGTACCAGTGTAAGTAACATTAATAATGGGCATAGATCTATGATTGGATCAGTGGATCAGTGATAATACTTTTTTACTGTAATAACGGAGAATTCATGCTGCTTAGAGTTATAAATCCTGTTTAATTAATAAAAAAATCTGGAACGATGTCCTAATCTTTTATTCGACTGACAAATCCAATCCACAAAACTATAAAATCAAAGATGCCTTCAAGCTATGCGAAATATGACATGGGAAAATTGACAGCAAAAGCAAAAAGTGACGATTTACGCAAATCAATATCAGTGAGGAAATTAGGAAAAAGCACAAGGGCAAAGAATCTTGATACTTTCAGAATAGGGATAGGGGGTAAAGAAAATCAGGGTTCAGCAACAGCAAATATGAAATTTGTTATTTTACAAATGTAAATGGCGACCCCTTTCCTTTGAAGCTACCCCCCCCCCCACGTCCCATGGACAGAGCTTTGTACATCGTTGTTTCAATAAGCAATCATTATTATTATCATTATTATTTAATTAAGGATCTCCGCATCAAAGCAACTATGATGGCTACAGCTACGCACGAGATTGCCCCAACAAATGTGCAGTTACCAAAAAACAAACTGGCGTACACAACTTCTCTCCATACAAACCTTTCATGAAAGTAAATTCAAACATCACAAATCATAAAAAATTTACTTTTCAAAATCGTTGATGAATTTTTTTTTGCATACTAATGAGTCTTTTCCTTTGTTTCATTCTGCTCTTTCAAAGTAACAATCGTCCAAATGAAAGCGGAAATGACGTAAACAATTCTTGTGATTTCCAGTGAATTTCCAGGAAAAACTAAAAAATCAATCCCATGAATCTGTTTCTATCCCATGAATCAATGCCGTATAAAAGAAAAGAGTATTGGTCCGAAAGGGTTTAACCATATTATATCTATGGGGCTACGCATGCATCATGGAGCTCATTATGAAAAACAAAAAATGAAAGTAAATAAAGCAGGTGAAATCAACGAATGATTATAGAGTGCAGACCAGGATTTGAGAAAGTATATTGAGAATTGTGAGCGAATGAAAATGTTACAATATTTCTATATAAATACAATGTGTAATTATATCAGGCAAGAATAAATCCTTTGATCGTACCTGCCAAGTCGTATTTCTTTGAAGATGTCACCAGGTCAATGACAATGAAAAGGAGGCATCGCAAAGTTTCTAGCGGGGCAGCGAAAGACCTGTTGACAAAGTTGTACAGTGTTGGGATCACTTTGTGGTGGTAAATACAGCTTTAAAATAAGTCAAAATATGACAGCATCCGAGACTTTAGTCTATATTTTTCATATCTTTTATATAAATCATATGTCAATGCATTAACATATTCGAGCGATTTCTTGTAAAAAACCAAATAAGGTTGATAGCAAAAATGTTTTGTGCGATTACGGCTGCTCAATTGGGATGTCGATTTTAGACTCACCGGTGTTCGAACATAAACCCCAATGACGTCATTGTCAAGATAATGAATCCACCGACTAACCATATATGGGCAACACTCAGCACCTGTTGACAAAAGAATACATTCACAGCGTCTGTTATACCCAACGTCTTCAGTCGTGCATCAAAGATTCCCATTTCTTTCATACTACCTCCTCTGTTCCCCTTTCCCTCGGTAAAATGCTGACAGCTAGGGCCATTATCATACAAGCTACATGAAAAAACCTACTTCTTTATATGTTTCCAGTCTTCCCAGTAAACCAACATTGTTTAATGAGGGAGAAGGGGGACGGGCGAATTCGACTTTGGAAACGTTCGTTGGTGTTGCTAGATTTTGCCAGTTATTGCGACACCCAGCAATGCCTTTAGAAAACATATAAGAAATTCAGGAGAATGGATTGGGCAATATATAACCCGAGAGTATAAATAAAGCAAAGTTGAGGGTGATTGAAAAAGCATATGAGCATCAGTGAAACAAAGACTGGCTTATGCAGTTCAATACAAGCTCAACTCAATCTTAAAATTAATACCACGCTCAATTGGCTACTATCAAGCAGCTCTATAGGGTATCTAAGTCGCACATGAAATATATATTCTGACTCAGATGTATATTTGATTTCTTCTTTGCTAATTGCTTATTTATATGCTTTTTTCAAAGACATGAAAATTAATATAATGGCTAGATTTCCTTTTGGGTCTAAGAAAATTAATACATGTTGTTAGAAATGGATTTGAAATAAGCAAAACTTTTGGCAGATACTTAAGCTTTTCGTTAGACACTCTAAGGAGTATATAAAAGACGATTCTGATTGGCCTATTTCTATCCACAACTGGGTACATATATTTCCTAGATTAGAGTTTCCGATCTATGTTCTGACCTTTTACACTCTGTAGAGTGTCAGACAAAAAGCTTTATTATGTGCCAAAATGTTGCTCTTTTCAATCCAATTTTAATTCATGCACCACCAAAAGAAATAGTGTTTGGTCTGCAAAATGCTTTGATTTAAGGCTACGGGAATTTTCTTCGGTCTACCTGTTTTGGGTCTGAAATGGACACCGGCACACCGTATCTACCGAAAATGAATAAAAAACTTGCAAGACATAAATATACATACAAGCTTTTTGACTGCCAGCTCTTGAAATGCAACTGACAACACCACACTGTGTATTACCACATAGACATTTTTGATCAAAGGAAGTTTCTTATCAAACTTCACGACAGGATACTCGATCTGCAAAAAATAATAATTAATTCAATATTGGACATTTATGAACCTGCCACAACTAAAAACTGTATCTAAAGGGGAATCTATTAAGATGTTTTAGAAGTTCCATCAACTGTTGCAGAGGGCATACAAATCCTAGAGATACAATTTAATATATCATGAAAAAAAAATATTTGCTAGAATGAACTGCTTTTAAAAAGATGTTTTGGCTTTAAAAAAGCTTAAACAGTTCTTCTATAAAAATATTGTTAACTTCTTTTAGAGGAACCGTAGATACTTTTCTGAGAAGATTCTCAAGTTTCGAAGAAATCAATTCTGTTCTGATGAAAAAACTCAAGAAAGTATCTTTTGATACTGCTCTCGATAAGTATAGCTGTATACGATTTGGAGGAAATGCGGTTTGTTTATATGATTCAGATCATTATTTAAACAAGAAGTAATTAACAATGTACAGCAGGAATATCTTCCGGGTTGCCAAGACGTGGACTTCCAGGAACCCAACCAGGGCCTTTGACCAAGAAGGAGATCTGTGAAACATAAATATAACAAAAGGAGTAAATGGTTCAGTTGAAACGAGGTTTGAGGCTTGCAATGTGAGACCTTGGCAGTAATAAGACCGCATTCCATTACTAAACAAAGGCTGAAAAGTTAAGACTGATGGCCTAAAAAGCTTCTTAATGATGACTAGAAACAAGAGCTGCATAATAATACCCATCATGCAGTTCGATGAAAACTAAATACAGTTATTCCAAACATTTACATATGGTTCATGTTTGGCAAATTATTAAGCATTCCAGGGGGATTGCACAAGTGCGAACCGTGAAGAAAGCGGGCAAAGTTTGGGACTTAGGCTAATTCATTAAATCGTGAAATTATGGCAACCAAAAGAAGCAAGATATTTCAATATCAATTGAAATGTGCTATTGCTCATAGGAAAAGAGAATCACATGATTGGTTTATTCTAACCAATTAGTATCCATCAAATTCTCACGTGCATTTTTGGATAGACGAAAATTAAGATAGACAGATCGACGAAGTGTGATTATAATGCATTCCTGGATACATAGATCCGACTTTGCAGTCATCCCTAGGTCCATCGCTACAGTGGGGCGTAGAAGAGTGGGGCTGACACCCCTTTGGAGAAAATTTCATTGTAAAAAAGAGCTTTTTTGCCACGTATGGGTGCATCGTCGGTGAATTCCTCAAACTTGTCTAAAAATGAATGATGGCTCACCCTCTTTGTCGGCACAATAGCTAGCGACGACCTTGGTCATCCCTTGATGGGTACATGTCAGATTAGTACAAATCTTAAACAAATTTAGATCTGCTTCCATACAAATACAACTAAATTGCCTTGAATCGAAATGTTTGTATATGAAAACCATGTTAAACGATCACAATTTAGAAAATGATTTAAAAAGGTCCTCGGAGCAATAGTTCTACAGCCTTTCGACTGAATTTGCTAGTTGAGTGAAAGAAGGTAGGTTACACAGTTCAGCGACAATGAGAATCAGCTTAGCATTAAGAAAAATGAAAAGAAACCTTGTTTCTGAATCCATCCATTTTCCAGAATGTTTCAAACATGTATTTGTAATGACAGAACTAGAAGTATAAAACACATTTACTTACAATACGAATGAGGTGGAGATAAACAAATTTTTAGCTATGGGTAGTCATTGGTAATCTCGTTAACCTGAATATCATCTTTAAGTTATATCCGTGCATTTTTGGACAAGATTAGAAAAAACTTAAATGCTTATAGACAATGAATCTCAGCCAAGGCATAACATTCAAGTGATATTATTTATTTCTAAACTATACCAAAGTATTCCACGTGTCAGAGTTTATGAATTTGGTTGGAACAGCTTCTCGGCCTCATTGTGCGTTCATTATAGCGTTATATCGTCATTGTAGCGTTGTATAGTAGTTTCACACGTAAAGTCTTAGATAATTTCGTTCTGTTAGATTGTAGTAGAGGGTAGAGTGCTTCTTGCTAGTGCTCAAGCTTTCATACCTTTAAAGTTGGCCAGCTAAATCTTCGAATGAAATAGTGACAATTAATTTTGAGTGTTGTAATAATTTTGCAACTAAATTTCTTTGTGGAGTTATTTGAATCTAAAGGGCACAAAGGGAATTTCTCAACATTCTTTCCTCTATGTTGGTACTATTCTTTGAAATTAAGTGTACAAAATACAAAATAACCTGTATGTAGATGGGGTTCCATGACTCCAGGGGGTGGACAAGACCGTACACCACCTTCTCTTCCTTTTCAGCTTGGAATGTACCTTTTACAATAACAGAACAAAATGAACATTTGAGCAAGTCACGAAGAAGCATCTTTTGAGCAGATTTGACAAACAACAAACAAGATGGTGAAAAATCTATCAATTTGCTATACAAAAATTAAAATAAAAGACAATCCGAAAAATTTAATTTCTGCATGAGAGTTGCAAGAAAAAATTGAAACATACCAAATAAACGGTCCCATATTATCAGTGTCCCGGCTGCAAAAAAATACTTCCATCAGTAAACGCCCAAAAAAAAATTACAGCAATTGATAAAACGTACGACAATGCATAGCATTTAATCGAGGAATTAATATACATACAAACAAGGAGTTCATTAATAGGAATTTTGAAATGTTTAGAATATGAGCAATGAAATCACGCAGAACAGATCATTTTATAAAAAAATTTGCTACTTACCGTAATTTTTGTCAATGCAATAAGGATTCCTGCCTAGAAGTGAAATTTTCTCAATCAGATATGTCTGTGTATGTTTAACTTGCAGATACATCAATATAGGTGTATCAGTGCACTTGAAAAATCTCCCACAAATTCAACAAGGAGAAATTATAAGAGCATTACATGGATGCTTTATTCTCAAAGATTGATGCTAAATAATTGCTAAAAACAAGCTAGATTATTGAAGATCTTATATGAACAAGAGAGTTACTAAGATGACACGACCTCTAACCACCTAGCAGTACTGTATAGTGCTTGTCAATAAACAAATATGAATCCAATCCAGGCTCCTCTAAAAGTACCAAAGAAAAGCTTGAACACGGCACAAAGACATACTTTTGTCACACAACTCTGACAATGTACAAAGAGTAAAAACGTCGGAAAATGGCCACATCAAATCATCAAAATCCGGATGCTGATCGAAAATAGCGCTAGAGGAAAAATGACTTGTTTGATTGGTTCTTTGATTTTGACCAATCAGCAATAAGTATGTTATATTTTCGCTTTTCCGAGCTACTTTCACATTTTGCGCCACCACATTCAACTCGTGCAGCATTTCTTTTCAAGGTCTTTTCCACTAAGAGGCCAAGGTTTGGGGTGTCTTTCCTAAAAATTGGTCATTTAACGGAACGGTGATACTAACCATGGTGAACTCTGTGATGGCTTGGGGTGTTCAAAATATACTCCAGTGGTCCCAGAGTTTCAATTAACTAAAATATGAATGGAATATGCTAGAACTTCAACTATAGCGGTAATGGGAAAATTAAAATAGTAGATTTTTAAAAAGGTTCATTACTAGAGCTAAAAAGTGAATACTTGGTATCCAGCAAAAGGGATTACGAACCAAACGTTAATCGTGATACCCAAATGAAAATTTTTAAGAAGCTTATTATCGTTCTTGAAATGCTGGAATGTTGATATACTTAACAACTTTTCATGTTAACTTCTAACGATATGAAAGCTGTGTAAATTGCAAAGTTTTCCCTTGATGGGAACTTTTCATAGATACAAGAGCATCATCAAACAAATTTTAAATAGAGTTCATTCGAAAAACTCCTAGGCATACGGACACCTTCAGGGAGGTCGAAATAAAAAAATGGACAGAAATCCCCTTGACCGGGTCCAAAAAAATCCCTACAAAATTTAAGCCAATATATAGAATAAACTTATCGAGTATCTATCTAAAGCTTTACCCGGTGCTAAAATCTTGGCAAAAAATAGCTGAGACATTTGGACGAAAAAGAAATTTGTGTGCTATATCTTCATATTATATGCGCTGATGACCTAAACCCCCTTCCCCCTGGGTCAATGTTGATTAAGATGGTTACGGAATAAATGGAAATTACTACATTGGTTACCAATCCAATCACACCATTTATTTGAGTGTCTCAGCATTTTTTGCCAAAATTGTAGCAACACAGCCATGGATACCATTTAAACATTGAAAGTAACCAAGAAATAATTCAATAAATGTTGCAATAAACAATATGCAAAGGATTCCTTTTATCTGACAACAAAACAAAGGCATATAAGAAACATACTTCAGTATGGATCCAAAACTGGTATAAGGTATTCAGCTGATGGTGCACATAAAAAGCCGATGGTGGAGCGACAAGAGCCAGTGGAAAGTAAAAAACCTGATAATTCAATATGAAAATTATAAAAATTGTGGTAATTAGATGATAAACAAAGCTATGCAAATCTGCTTTGATTTAACTGAGATGAATTTTGCTTTGATATAACTGAGGTTCTTGTAGGGTTTATTTTAACGGACAAAATCTTACATTCTCTAAATCCTAACATTCAGTGTGCTTTGCGTGATGCTAGATTTTGCATGTCATATAGTTGAATTAACTTCACGGCTGAATTTGTAATCTGAATGCTAGACATGTAAACTGTTTTTAAAGTTGTTTATTCCATGTTAATTTGAATAGTGTGTTTCACTACTATGTGCAGAAATAAAAAAAGCAACATTACCCAGGAAGTATAGTTTTGCACCACAGATTGTCTCAGAGCAGTTGTAAGATTGTAATCTTCGGAGCTGTGATGGACTTGGTGTGCACCCCATAGAAAGTTGACCTCTAAAGAAAAAGGAGAAACAAATAACTTCAAAGGGCCAAGTAGAAAGACATTACCATTACCATTACCATTTCAAAAGAAATCTCCAGGTTCTACAGGCAATGGGTCATTCACAAGTATTGTGATACCGCTTAGTTGCTTAAGGTGCTTAAAATAACAATGACATTTAAAAGAAAGCTGCACATTAAATTTCAAATGATACTCTAAATCAGGGAGTGTTGAGTATAGGGTGAATATCGGTTGCTTAAGTCACAAACCTATATGCAATACCACCTTTACATCAATAGGGCCTTAATTCCTCATACCTCACCCAAAGTGAGGAGAATCGCCAGCTCTCTGTAGTTCCAGGCATAGGAATCACGAGGTGTGGTCACATCGAGAGGAAGGACCAGGACACTGCTCGGTAAGCATAAGCTTCTCAGTGTCCTAAAAACTACCTTTGGATGCTAGGTAGCAACAAATACAAATATAAACACACCTTCCATTCCCCTACCACAAGAAGATAAAGCTACCCATTCCTGCCGATTATTACAATATTATACTAACAAATAAGTAATTTGTTAATGCTGAACTATAACCAAATTACTGCTTAGTCAGGATAAGCTTGAGATAAAATAAATATGATCTTCAACTGACCATGAGTAGCTCTGTGAAACCAGTAATAAGTAAAGTCAATGACAATGAAACAAAGTAGCCAGGTCCATGGAGAATCCCAAGGGAGAGCTGTAATCCGATAGTTCTCATACACATAGACATACAATGTGAATTCGGCAATTAGGACCATGACCCTGCAACAAAATATGCAGGCATATATGAATCATTTAGCAATAATTGCTGGTGATCAATTTGTAGAGCAAAAGGTTAACAATTTCAGTTTACATGAACATGTACCAGAGGTGAACAATTTGGTCTCTGGCACAACAGGTTCTTATCTGTAGGAGACGGCTTATTGTTACATAGGAAAACTGTAAGGCTGAGCAAATTTTGAGTGGAAATTTCCACCACTGTCGCTGAAGGACATGTGGGGGAGACCACTAAGAGCTGCTGGTTTCTTCCAGTCCCTGTCTATATGATAATTTTCTAGGGTACTGTAACAATCATTATCTTCTCATATCGATAACAATCGTTTAAAATCATAGAAACTATGTTCTGATGGTAGCTTGGTGATCACATTCAGCATACAACTCTTATTGCAACCTAGAACCATCCTTTTCTGTTTAATATGCATAACCATATCAGCATGGCCATCAAATTTAACTAAATATAAAAGGTCGAAGCTTTGACTCAAATCTTCTAAATCCAAGTTTTGTCTCATACTACTTTTCCACATCCAAAAATAAATTTATTCACTTTCATAAATGAAACAAAAACCTTAGTACAATTGATAATATTTCCCTATAGATCATTTAAAATAGACTTACAGCAGATTGGAATTTGATTAGAATTTCTTGTTATCCTATAATTACAGACAACATATATATTGACCTTCTACAGGTTCTCTTACAAATTGGCACAGTCTTTCACACATTCGTTTTCAAACCCTTTATCTTAAGTGCTTGCTTCAAACTTTCCATCTTTGCCTTCAACTATACATCCACAATGTAATAACATCAGCAAAAAAGGCTTGATGCTACCATTTTTAATCTATCATCAGCTTTTAACTCTTAATGAAGTAAAAACATAAATAACCAAAGAGGTCTCAGGATTGATCTTTGGTGCACACCAACCCATGTATCGAGCAAGTTCCTATCAAATTTCACAGTTGTTTCTGGTCTTTTCTTCCTTTTCATCACATTAATATCATCAAATGCTCTGAGGCATCTCATGTTACAACTTGGGACTTCATTAGATTAAATCATCTTTAAATTTTCATTTAACTAATTGGCTGAAAAGTAGAAATATAAATGTTTCTTACTTTGATAACTGTGACATGAGACCAGCTGTAAGAGAGCTTGCACCATCATTAAAACGCAGAGTTCGCTTTCCCATTAGAACTGCAACTAAATATTCCACTGCGATCGCAGCTATAAAAACAGGAACTGCCTTGAATCAAAACAAAAATTTATGTCAAAACCATGCTAAGAAAACCAATGAAGAAAAAGGCATTCCCATGACAAAAATTCTAGCATCTTCAGAGTATCGTCAAGATAAATGCACACAGAGTCAGATTAAAGTGATATGGGTCCAGAAACAAGTAAGTTTTCCAAAAAGAGTTTTCATAAAGATGAAAGAAGTAAGATTTAAACTAAAGCAGTAAAACAAGAATTTGTAAAATTTCATTATAGTCTCATCAAAATCTTAAAATAAATGGTTTTGTTTATTTCTAGGAATAAAAAATAGAAAATACTAATTTGTCTTGAATAAACTGCAGCAACCAGCATGCACTGACGTTATTCTGAGATTTTTTTGCAGAATATTTGCTCGCAAAGTAGTTTGATCATAGAGGCATGGCAATGTGTTCAATTTTTCAGTGATCTGCTTCTAGTTTCTACATTGAAATGCAAACAAAAGCTCATAATTTCCCTATCATACTCAAGACAGAAAGTTCTAAGCAAACTTCTATAGCCCTGCTTGAAAAATTTGCTTGTACATATATCAAACAAAGCTTAAATTCTTCTTCAGTGAGAGGGGAGTACTGCAATAACCTTGGGATCTCAAGCAAAATGCTGGAACAACATTCCTCGGGAGATAAAAAATTGACCATCTGCTTGTAGTTTTAATGGTAATTTTTTCTTTGACAATGATTACAGATCATAAAAGGTCCCCTGTCAGCCTTCATCCGAAATTAGTTAAGAAATTTTTCAAAAGAATTATTTAGATATTTCAAAAATAGCCAATCAACTTTGACCGGGGGTGTTCTCACCTCGATTAGCCTGGCTACTGAGAGAGTCCCTCTTTAAGAAATTCCCTTCAATATAATTCCTCCACTGTTTTTTTGCAATTTTGCATTTTAAAGGCATTGAGTCATGATAAAATGGATTGGGTATACCCAAAGTGCCAAAATCCGCTGAGTCACAATTTTCATAACTGCTGTGCTATTGGTTGACCTTAAACTGGTCACATGAACTCACCTCGTACTGATTAACAAAACAGTTTCCATCAATAGCAAGTTGTCAACAACGGATGCCAATATCAGGTGAAACAGCAACAATCACGCCGAAACCAAAGGAGCCCCTATAGAGAAGGCCTATTTACCATGACTCAATGCCTTTAAGTTAATTAATTTGGTATCTTATATTTGTTTGCATTATTTTTTTGTATTTATATAATTGGTGTTGTATGCAGTGGAAGTTCAAAATTATACTGAACTGAACTTCAAGCTCTGCTGTTCTAACAAAATCTTTACTTGGTTTGATCTCTTGAGGTCCATTATGCATGCTGGAACAAATTGCGGCCCAAGGGCTCTAATTACTGGAATGAGAAGACTTACCTCATTTAGGTAATCAGGCACATCATCAACCTTCTCATATGATGACTCCCATGGTGTTACAGCATAAAAAATTCTTCGAATTTGCTCACTAGCAGTTGCATTTGGGAAGCGCATCTTGGGTCCTACGAGCAAATATTTAGACAAAGTCAAAGAAAAACTTATACAAACTCTGCAAGTTGTGAAAACTACATTAAACAAATTTTGAGTCAAAAGAACATAATAATCAATATTGAGTAGTTCAGCTTTTATATTTTGTCATCTCTCTTCATTAACAAGTAAAGGTTATTAAAATGGCTAAATGATTTCATTAACAAAACAATTTAATAAGGTATCTAGCACCTGTTCACCAGGGAGTAAATTATCTTAACTTTGTTTAATTTTGGAGTTGCCTGCTACCAACCTCTACCATAACTTTTCTTACTGTAAATAATTTATTGCATGTCTATTATGGATTGCATGTCAATAATATATTATATATATATACCTTTTGATTATTAGTAATCAAAAAAGTTGTCAATTCCAATTTTAACAATGAGATCCAGGCACATAATTTAAACGCAATAAACATTACGGTATTGGCAAGACTGAACAAAAGCCTCTGACATTTTCCATTGCAACAACCCTTGGAACTGCACACGGTTGCATATGCAAATATTATGTAATTACTTACAAGGCAGTACACTTTTATCCAAAGGTCCAAAACTGTCCCTGGAACACAAGGTAAAGTCCACTCATGTTTTGATTTTCAGCAGTGCTCCTTCGCATTGTTACGATGATCAACCATGTGATCAACAGAGCTCTAAGTGTGACGTCACAGAAACCTATTTTTGAAACTTTCGAATTTTAACCACATAATATCATAGAATGTCATGAAATACTTCCAAATATGCCAAATCAGTTGAATATGTCAAAAATCGGGTGAAATATGGCCAATGTAAAAGTTTGAAGTTTGCTAACCGATTACTGTTATTTTGGCTCTGTTCATAAAGTTTTATATACTCATACATCTCAGCCAATTCGTAAAACATTTAACTGATTTTGCATATTTAGAGGTATTTCACATAGGTCAAAGTAACTGAAAGTAACTTTGTTCTGTTACTCCACTGAGTTTTATCTGTTTAACAATAATGCATCATGAACATGGTTTTCAACAGAAGAACTAAACTTCTAAAAAATAAAAGTCTAATGGCTTTGTGAGGTTGATTGGTAAAATTGTTCCATTGTAGTTATGTCTTATATCCAACCTCCATGAGATCAAGCTAATCATTTTGTTACACAGAATTTAAAGTCATACAATTTCGATAAGTAATAGTAGATTGCCAAGGTATACTGGGATGGTATTGGGCTGACCCTGCGCACCCCAGCGCAAGAAGGTGGATCTTTGTGATAATATATAGCAAATATAGAATTTAAATGATTGTAAAGAATGGGTTTTTCTTGGTAACTACAGAACTCTTGGTAACTCTTGGTTTTTACTTTGTAACTTATGAGAATGGAGCCAAAATTTCATAAATGTTCACCTCGCTTACAAACCAAAACGCTTATCGTGGCCCCTAGTTTGTTAGTTAAATGCAATAAAGATAGCATTGAGGAAAATAAAGTGAGCAACCCCAACAAAGTCAAAAAACGATTGAACAGCTTCGGAGGAACACATTAAATTTTTATAGAAACTTTTGAAAAAACGGGGGGGGGGGCAAAACAAGGGGCAAAGAAAATTTCGAAAATCCCCCGCTCATTCCACTGAGCCAAATGGCCCAATGAAATGAGCGATGAATCCCCGAAGCCAAGACTGGAGATCTCACCGTGGCCAAGCCAGTTTTAGTTTTTTCTGTTTAAAGCCCTCATCAGAGCCATTTTAACCATAGATATATAATCATAAGGCAAATGCTTATATATATATATATATTATATATATATTAGAGCCTAAAAGGAAAGAGGGGGTTGAGGCTCCCCCCTCCTAGCGATAGTCACAGGAGTGCGAGTGAATTTTTTTGACAAAATTTCTTGCAGAGCAAGCTGCTTCTTATCACGTGACCCCTACGTGAGAGCGTGCCTATTTAATTTGACATAGATAGATATGATGAGTCACAAAACTAATTGCCGCTGGTACCGTCTTGTGCAATAACGTATCCCCCGTTTCTAGAGGCTCTCACAAATTGAAAACCGCTTCAAGCGGTATAGAATCTAACAGCTATGTGGCATTAAAAATAGAGGCATTCGTCACAAGACAATGACGATACGTTATGTAAATAGAATTTGAAATTAATTATAAACTACCTGCTCTGTTTTTCTTTTCCTTGTTTTTTTGCAACCGAAAAACCAATAAGGAAATTTAATGACACATGGGTATCAAAAAAGCAATGCCAGACCCCGCAGCTGCAGTGCAGGGACCGCGGAGCAAATTACGAATTCAGGGGGGCTAAAAACTTTTTGGGGGCACACATGCTAAACCCAGAGCGATGCTACTAGCCCCTTCAGGAAAATGAGGTTCTTGGTGGTAGGCGCAATAAATTTCTCGAGGTTTATTGGGTTCGAGTCTCGCTCGGGTCGGTTATTTTCCCGCACTCTCTATTAATTATCTTCAAAAATCCTGTTGTCTGTAAGGTTTATTTATAAAATTTTCAAAGCAATCTTGAGACAAAAGTAGTGTTTTGTTTAATTTGATCGATTTCCATAAGATAAGGGTTGTAGAAAATTTTTTTAGTTTTATACCCCCTGAACAAAAACATACAAGACCACAGAACAGACACTTTCGAAATGCGGAATAATGTCAGGAGTACCGAACAAGGAAGTAATTTAAAACCATAAAAAATTTGAATTGCGCTCTGTATGTTGGTCGGTTGGCGAAGTGGCTTACAAAGTTGAAAAGTTACCTTCAAAGTCGTATTATATCAGCTAAAGAAATGGATGACGATTCACATCAAATCTATGAGAACAGAGAGACAATTAACCGGCACATGAAACAGTGGAAGCCAAAGCCCATGGTACGGCCACCAGGTTTAGGCCAAGAGGACAATGGAGGCTACGATGAAGAGGAAGTTTATGTTAATAAAGATTGCAATCCTTTGATGGATGATACATACATTGCGCCTGTTATGCAGTGTGTAGACCCCAAAACTGAGGAACAGGAAAGATACGAGCCTTTAAATGTTGAGCCCGAACCCAAGAAACAAACCATGAGGACTGGAATCGGTTACGAGGTACCGTCCCCACAGCAAGGCCAAGTTCGGGGGCGACCAGAATCTTGGGTGCATTTAGAGACGTCAAATACTTCTGCTAAAAGAACGACTGATTCAGAAACTGACTATGATGATGTTGTTAAACATACCCTACAACAAAAGGAAATGAAGACGGAAAAAGAACAACAGGCAGAGAAAGGAATTGAATTAAAAAGTTTTGGTACTTTTCGCTCCGAAAGTGACATTTTTGTCACTAGAAAAAAGAGTATTTGGTGCTTCCGTTTTTCATGTTTCATAGGGGTCACTGCATTTGTTATTGCTTTGTGCGCGTTGGTCATTGCCTTGTTACTATCACTTAGTGTTCTGAAACCGAAAGAATGTGGGTGTCAGAAAGAGATAGACTTTTTGAAAGCTGAAATACGAACACTTAGATCGCAGATTCCACCAACCTCTATTCCATGGAATTCTGAGTCTCATAGCTCCGTACATTTCAAAACACAGACATTAACCCCTACCCCAGCAATTACGCCGTTTGGATCTTCAGTCCACTCGAGGTTGAGTCCTTCAACACACCAAAGCTCGTCAATCGTCGCAACACATCAAAGGTCCTCAATCGTCCCAGATCCTAGCTTCATTAGCCTAAAAATCACAGCCAGCAAAGGAATCCATTAGTTGCCAGGTCAACAAACTCCGAAAATATATGCAAAAATACAGTAAATAATGTAGGTAACATTTATATAGATACTGAACATTTTTTTGTATAATTCTTGTAACTCTTTTACAGAATTTTTGACGTTGATCACGTTTTCATTTTTACACTTTTAATCGCTTTCTTCAGCCTGTATCTGATTAATATACAAACATTTGAATCAATATGTCTTTGAAATTGCCATTGTCTGCGGTGATTGTACAAAACAAATTTGGCCAAAGAACAGCAAACAAGAGCTTTCCCCTTATATTATGAAACGTTTATTATAACCTGGCTGCTACAGGTAAACATTCCTTTTGCAAAAGCTTTCCTTTGTTTAAGAACTCGTAAAACAAAGAACGGACTGCGTGAATTTTCAACGGTTATTAGTTTTTGCCTGGAAAGGGGGCAGAAAACGGTTGTCTTCGATTTGAATAAAAATTTTGACCCCCTTTTTTCACCAAAATACTGCATTAACACTTTTTAGCTTCCAACCCTCTTAACATTATCATAAGCAAGTAAGGTATGGGGCGTCCAGGGGTAACTTTAGGGGTGTCTTCCTATAGCACTAAACTTCATATTCTGGTTTTGAAAAGTATACAGTTTGATACAGTAGACTGCGGTTAAAGTCACACCAAATGTTGCTTGAAAACTTGTGCCTGTAAGCGGTACTAAATATAATAGTTCTGCTTATTTGGGTCTTAATTTCATGTAACTGTAACCAGTAGTGTAACTTTAAGCGGGGTGGCTGTAAGCGGAGTTGACTGCATCTAGTTTCCATGACCGTAATCATTTGGCTTTCAAATGGAACTGGTCTAAATGGTAAAAGACGAAGAGTAAGAATCTAAAAATAAGGTTTCAGGAAGTTATTTGTGAGCCACGCCCTTCATGTGCAATATCAGATATTCTAGCACCGGCTTTCTGCAAATTTCCCTAGTAAAAACAGCAAGAATAAAGTGAAGGAAAAGCTTTCGTTTTTTATAGAGGATCTCAAAATGAAAAAAAATTAAAATTATTCTCCTTTTTACCTCACGTAGCTTGGGACAGCATTGTGCGTTGCTTCAGACATGTTTTTGCTGCAAATAACTAAGATTGTTAAATTACTTCAAAGATGGGTTTCAGCGGAAAATTTCAAATTACTAAGCCTTTTGGAAAATCAGACGTTAAAAGAAGACTTTTTGGAAACGTACGTTAAAGCTCTACTCGAAGGGCCTCGCGCTTTGAAAAGTCAAAATCCGTACATATGAATCATACGAATCTTGCCTCAAATCATGTTTAAATCAAGCTTGTTTCTTGATAAACAAATGATCGTAAGTTGGGTTTTTCGGTGACTAGTAAACAGGGCCAACACCACCGGGGGGCCGGAGGGACCATGGCACCCTTACTTTTTTCCGAACCAAGTAGTTTTAAAGCTGCAGTGGAAGGATAAAAGCCTTGCCCCCTACTTTTGCTAGCCTTGCCCCCCCCCCACTTTCAAATTCGTGGCGTAGGCCCTGGTAAACCATTCAACTTTCAGAGAACTGATCAATAAACCGCATCAAAACAGTTTAAGTTGTCTCCTTGGGCCAATAATATATTCTTCATCGCAAATCATAAAATTTTGTCGATCCTGTAATGTTTCAAGGCTCACGTGAGAAGGCTCGGAGAGAAATCAAATATAAATGTCTACTTTTTATAATCAAAATCATGAATAACTGAAGAAAAGCGTACTTTACAGGAGGCATAAGAAAGTTATTTAAAGTTTGTAACAATAATGTAAGCAGATGTACCATAATTCACCATTTTGTTGAAAAGAGTTCAAAACCTGTAAGTTACGGTTGCAAATCAATTCATAGTTCAAAGAATAATTTTGTTACGATACACATTCAAGTATATTTTTGGGCAAGTTTTCAAGTAGCTTTGTGTGGAGGTGATAGGATCTGCAATTAATGCCATTCATGAAGATCCCACCAGAAGTATGAAACATTCAAGTTCAGGGACGAGTTTAAAAGTCGAGCTGATATAGAAAAGTTGCTTTATTTATCTTATCTTCTCGAGCTTAAAGTTCAAAAAAGGGTACCTCCATCAGTTTTCAGTCACCTGAAAGGTATGGCACCAATTCCAATCATCGTCTAGCACCCTCCACCCCCACCCACCATTCCAATCATCTTAGTGGGGAAATTTAACACCCATAACAAAAGATTTTGAAAAAAAATTTATTGCTTTCGAAAAAAGTGGGGATTGAGGCGTTTTTCAAAATGACATTTTATATGAAAATACATTAATGCATTTCTTACCTTGAGCTTTCACGATGCGATACTTTCTTACAAAGTGAACGATATTCAAATTATATTCCCTTACAGGGTAGATACACTGTTGTCGCAAAACAATTTGTCAGGGGCGCAAATTAATGGATGAAAGGGGGTTTCGTTTTATCTGATGGGTATAAAAGGGTTTCACACCCCCAGTTTTAGAAATTTATTCTGAAATAAATCCTGTTCTTTTCTCGTCAAGCGATGGTTTAAGGTGAAGTCACGCACCCGTAACACTATTACTGTTTGCACCGCACCATTACAATTTGCCCCCTTTTTAACAACGTTTAGTACTTGCTTGTGGATATATATTTGTGTCGTTTGAACTGCGGTAAGAATGAGCATTCTGGAGAAATTGAAGAAAAAGAAGGACTATGGCTTTTCTTCTCTGCAGAAACATTTCATTACTTCTAGTTTCATGGACAGTTTGGGTCTATAAAACAATTTTAAAGTATCGAGGCTTGGTACTAAAGCATCAACTATAAAGTTTACCTAAATTGATAGATTCAGTCTTGGGTTTTCATTTTTGACATTGAATCGCAACATTTAACCGAAAACTTTTGTATGGTAACTCCAATCAATATGTTTTTCAATAGATTGTAACAAATGAGGTGCAAATTATTTTCTAACATATTGCATGTTTGCATGGATGTAAGTCACATTATTTTTTAGATTTAAGTGTGATTGATTTGACCTCTAGAACAACAAGAACAACTTTGAACAATTTTTTTGCGGTACAGAATTTGAAAATGGCTTTGAAAAAAGCAAACACCGGTCGTCCTTCCATCTAGCACTTTTGGAGTCAATCTACATAAAAACGAAAAAGCCGCCATTGTGTAGACAAAAGGAGTTCGTTTTCTCTCTTGGACTCCATTGGTAATTTTTCTTTAGGCTAGCGGCACTGATTGGTCAACTATACCGGTCTTGTGCTTGCGTTTTTCTGATTGGCCCATTTCGATCCACAACTGGGTATATATTTTGCACCGTGTTCTTTCGGAACCTTATTCTGACGTTTTATGCTCTGAGGAATGTCAGACGAAAAAGCTTTTAGTATGTCGTAAAATGTTTGCTTTTTTCAAAGCCATTTTCAAGAACAACTTTATTAAATTTTTATCTACTCATTGGATTGTGGATTATAACAACATCAGTGAAGATTATTGCTCCAAACAGACAAGAGAAACCCACAGTACAATATACAAATGACACAGGCATATATATAACAGATGACACAGGCTTAATGCAATCATCCAGCAACTTGAAATTAAGCTTGTGATTCTGAGTAGGTTCTTAGAAAAGTCCTGTTCTATACACCAAAAGAGTGACATGGGTTGACTTCAAACATTGAAACTAAACAAAAAGCAAACAGGAGAAGTAGCTATAAAAACTCTATATATTTGATAATTCAAATATGATCTTAGCTTTGATATCAGCACATATAAAATATTACAGGTAAAAACAACACAACAAATATTTAGAAGCAAAGAAAATATTCATTTCAAAACATAACTTAACTACAGTTCATCATGTGTAAAGTCTTCTGCAGGTGCAGTTTCATTATCTAGTGTACCTTTTGTAAACAATGGATAATTTGTTATTATTTCAACACTGGAAAGTTTACCATCTTTATCTGTGTCAGCATTAACAAATAACATGTCTGCATGTTTGTCAACAAATTTTGTAAGGGTAAAATCCAATGCAACGTCTGAAACTTCATCAGCTGTCAAGAAGCCATCGTTGTTCTTATCCATCTTCATGAACTTCTCTTCCTCAATTTTTATTCCCTCTGCATCTGAGGTATCAAATCCTTTCAAGTATTCCTCTTTACTAACTTTCAAGTCATCATCAGTATCATAATCTATAAAACAAGTAATTATGAAAAGGAATCAAAAAATGAAACTCATGTCCCAAAGTTGTAATAATTAGCTTATAAAAATAGTTTCATTGTTTAACCTCAAGTGGTAAAAAATGCTTCATTCCAAATCTGAAAATAGATCTTGATTAAAATGTCCATTTTTCAAAGTTCTCTTCAAAGTGATTTCTTCAGAAAAAAATATTTTACATGATTTCCAACATAAATGGCTTATATGTTATTGACATTTTATTTATCAAAGTTTTTACTCTTTAAATTTTTGTATACATTTCCATTTTTTAAAATTCATTTGCATAGTTTGGTTGCTTTGCATAGGGCCGTTTGGCTCGGTGGAATGAGCATGGGTTTTTGAAGCACCAAACTGGAGTTCAATTGCTACCAAGAGTGGTTCGAAACAATTGGGCAGCACCCTTGTGGAAAGATTTTCCTCTTGTCAGCCTTTGCTTTATGATTACATATATATATATATATATATAATATATATATATATATATATATAATATATATATATATATAATATGTATTAGTATAATATATATATGTATATAGATGATCAGTAAAAAAACAACTTGATTAAAGTTTTGCAATATGCTTCTTCAGAATAACCTTCACTTACATTTGGAGCGTTAAATAAGGAATACAAAACAATAGGACAAAAGAACACATTTTATAATTTTATATACTCAATCTGATCGCGCTCTTTGTGGGCTCATCAGTGCAGCACAGAGTTTGTATGAGACACAACCCGAGCTATGCTGTCAGAGCAACAAGGCAGTATAAAAATATATATTTGAGTGGAACAATTCATTTTCAGAAAAACAACTTGACTCCAAAAAAAGGATACCTTTTTAATTATTTCGCCAAAAGTGGGCAAATATATATTCTCATATTTAACTCCACATATCAATATAATGTGGATCAAAACTGAGAACCAGGGAACAAAAGGGCACAGGGTGCACTGTGCATTCCCTAAGATTTTCAAGTGCCTGTTGGCAAGGTGTAAGGGCCCCCTTTAGCTTGCATTTTTACTGTACTGGCATTCTTTCTCACCAAACCTTATGGTGACAACTTGTCATGATAACCAAGTTATAAAAGCTTTACATGTTCCTGAATTATATGGGAAACTGTATTTAACTGAGGGGGCTAAAGCTTCCCCCCCCCCAATCCTTCTGCCTTTAATGAGTCTCATATCTATACAATAATTTTCAAGTAAACAAAACAAGGCCAAAATATCTGAATCAAAACCTACCATGAAGATAGCTCATGACAGTGTAGTTATTCATACTGCTAAAATACTCTGGTGTTGCATAAAAGGGGTATTCAGAGTTGTTCAGAAAACCATCCTTGTCTTTATCTGCATGTTCAAATCTTATCTTTTCCATCTTCAGTCCTTTGACAAATGTTGGGTTTGACATACTGCCAAGTTTCTTCAAATCTTCCAAAACTTCATCCCAGCTCAGCTTTTCATCTTTATTAGTATCAAAAGATTTGATGCCACCAAGACCCTTTGCTTCTAAATGAGAGCCTTTCTCTGCCTCAACAATCAACCATGAAACAAGCTCTGGTTTAGTTATATAACCATCCTCATTCAAGTCCATCTTCTTTATGTCTTCCATCAGTTTTGATTTTTTCTTGTCAATGCTAAGGTTCTCAAACTCATCTCTGTAATATCCTGGTTAGAAATATATTATGTGATCAGTAAACAACAAAGCAATTTAGATGAGTTCTAATTCAATATGCTGCTTTTATAAAATATGTTGATATTTCAGGAGCCATTAGATATCAATTTTTTTATATAACATATGAAAATATATTAGTCTAACCAAGGTGTTAAATGCCAAGAACTTATCTGATCGAAAATTTACCACTGAAAAGGTTGCAATTTCAAAGGAATACCAGAACTCTTCCTGTTAATTGTCCCTTGTTCGGTTGGAGAGACCCGCCCACATTTTCCTTGAGTGGCCCCACTGAGGCCGAAAGCTTGAAATATACGATATATTTAAATTCATATCTGAAGCAAACGATAGACAACTTCCCCACCCCACTTGACTTCGTATCTACATTCACCTTTACACTTGATATTCCTTTCACACAAACAACAAAAGTTTATTGATATGTTTGTGCTTTTCTAGTGATTAAGTAATGTTCACCAACGATTTGGATAAGAAACTTACTGAGAAGGATATTCAACGTCTCCGCAGTGTAGTCTTCGTCTTCGCCATCTGGAGGTACAGTTGGGCCAAAAGAGCCATCTTCTTCTTCGTCCACCTGGTCCATCATATTTTTCCCTCCACTTGTAATAAACCCAAGATACTGCTCAGCAGCTGAAGGTTGTGGAAGTTCGTCATCCGTACCTTCTTCAAGAAATTCCTCCTGATCCTGGCTGCAAACAACAGTCAAAAATAAAACAAATACAGAGGCAAATAAGATCGTTGAAATTCTACCCATTTCCAATGTTGGTCGCTAACGTGATGACTAGGCTCCGCGTTGCTACTTCTAATTTTTGGCATGAATCTTTTCCTTTTCAAGCAGCCACACACGTGCACAAAAGATGATTGAATAAGCCTACTGATCGGAAAAAGCCACGTATGTTTTCAAATAAAATGCATGAGTGCCCAGCGTGGTAAGCCCGTCTGGAATCCCTGTTTTGGACCTGCCATTTACCTGCAATTGGATTAGCATCCGTGCAAAGGATTTAAAAGAAGCGGGAAAATCGCTAGGCTAAAGAGCCACAGAGGGCAAACAAACACCCTCAAGTGTATGACACACAAATGGACAGGTCCTGCAGAAAGTACATTGCCTTATCGTATGTTTAAGTACATGTAGTATTGTCACAAAAGATTCGGTTTGAATATCTTGTCAGAACAATTTAAAGTACTTTATTGAAGCATTAAAAAATATTAAAAATAAGTGTTGAAATTATTATTACTATCAAAAGGGAGAAATTTTGAAGGAAGTGTGTCGCGCCATTCATTGGTTTACAGAAACAAAGAATAAAATTTATAATTCAATGAGTTTTCATTTCCTATTGATCATATAAAAACTAGTTTGTTACGCTTCTCTGATTTCGAAGACTCTCGAATAGCGCGACCAAAGTCAATAACAGAGAGACTCTGTTCAGGCACTTGTATGACTTCAGCAAGAATACAATAAAGTTGTCAAGTGATGACGTCACAAAAATCTGTTTTAGAATTTAGAAATTTGTTCCCATAATCTGAAAGAGCATCATGGAATACCTTTATATCTACAAAATCAATGAAAGGCATTACAAATTGGCTGAGATATGACCAGAGAGCAAAAGCCCTGGCCCCATGAAACCTCTGTAACAGGGCCCCCGGAGACGGGGGGCATGAGGCACAGCCCCCCTGTTTGGAAAAATGTGAAAAGTGCCCCTATTTAGAAAAATATTGCGTGTACTATTTTCACAGCCAGATACTTTTCCTTTAGACGCCAAGTAAAACAACTTCAATCAAGGTGTTGCTCCAGTGATTCTCAATTTCTAACAACATCTGCTGTGAAGGAGACTGTCTCTTTGACGAGAAAAACTTCCTCAGTGTGTCGCCAGTTGTTTTTCAGCCGGTTTGACACCGTATCACAGAATAAGAATATTTCTACGACCGTATTCTCTCTAATGAACGCCGGGGTTATTTGTTATATTTTTGGCCTCAGAGAGGAGGCGCTCAATAGAGAGGGGCGTTCACTAGAGAAGGGTGCTCACTGAAGATAGATAAATATCCACCAATAAAAAACTGAGCTTTGAAATTCAAACGATCGTTTTTTTTACAAAAATTAATGTTGAATTTGCATCACACTTGTTAAGGCAAAAACATTTACAAGATGTCAATTTCTTCCGAGTTGGAACCTTAGTCGATTTGCATAAACACTGGCTTAGCGTCTTGAATATTTGAATTTTCAATAACATCTCTAATGAGCGCTCATTGGAGATTTTTGCTCAAAAAGGGAGCGCTCATTAGAGAGAATACGGTAGGTCGACCAGTGTAGAACTGTGCAGTGTATATCATCTCGGAAAATTCAATTGGTCTAAAGATAACAATTTAGCTGTTTATTTTTTGTCTTGCTAAATTTTCGAAGACTGAAACATTACTGAAAAATTTTGGCAATAACCAATGTTACGAACAAATATATGTTTGTGCTCTTTTTATTCTTTTTGTCCCCCCCCCTCTCCTCAAACCTGCGTCTGGCGGCCCTGTGTAATTTGGTCTTTAATAACTTTATAGACGGGGAAATTATTACAACAATCTAACCAAGTGCCTAACCTGATGTCGAGCTTCTTTTTAGAAGGCACTCAGTATATTGATGTAGATGGATTAAAGAAATAATCGAATGAATACCACCTGTCTAGATATAAACATATTGCACATATCAACAGCCTACTTATCATCAATAGATTAAGGACTTATCCTTAAGATTAGCCTACTTACTGAGAAAGGCAATACCTGGTGTTCCTCAAAGCTCAGTAATGGAACCTATCCTTTTGATCTTGTATTTTGATGATAAGTCAGACACCACTTCAGTATAGCCAAATCTATTTATGAATGAAATTATTGTTTCTGATAGAAAATTGAATCTTTCGATTTAAGATGTGACATATCACCCAACCAAACGTATTAGCAAGTAGATTCTATCTGCATACATTGTAAATTACGTATTTTTTGTTTCTAGTTTTGCATCAGTTGTTTTTTTCGCTTTATTCGGAGAGATTCGTTTACGGCAATTTTACACGGTGTTTTTCACACTTAAGACTCATTAGTCAAAGTTCTGTTGAAATATTCGTTTTTGGAAGCTCTATCCGTTTCATTTAATAAGATCAATCTTTCCGGAAAGCGCAAACCTACAATGCCTGCGAAATGTAGTTGGCACACCCAACAATTGCATTGTGTTTTTATGTTTTTTAATTTTTCCCCATTCCATTAACTTTTGCACCCCTTCCTTCCAAAACAATGTCGAGGGTTTAGACAAAACATCATACTGGTAGCTGGAGAAAGCACAATTCCAAATCTCCTATGTCATTTCATAGCAAACCGACATAATTCAAAGCGGGAGGGGATGGCTGAATTCGCCCTTGAAAACTGACGTTAATGCACCACGACTTTCGGTAGGCACTTTGACACTCTCAAAAGTCAAAAAGGATCTTTGTTAAAATCAAAAAAATCAAAATAAATGTCCTGCAACTTCTTAGATTCTGCTTTATCTAGCAAGTCCAAAAATGGCCACTGAAAAACTGTCAACAGAATAGAAAAATTTACGAAAAACTCAAAATTAGTGTTTGTATAGAAGTAACATTGTGAATTACTAGCTTTAACCCACTTTAATCACACAAAAGCTCTACAAAATAGTTGAAGACTTAATTATTCCATAATAAATAATTCGTTCCACGAAAGACGGTTCCATACCAATAGCATATAAACAGTTGCGAAAATTTTACATTATAATATCAGAAAGCAAAAATATATTTCCCTTGCTTTTTACACCACCCTGAAAACTTAGAAGCATTAACAAGTCTGGTTATATGAGAAAAACTTAGCATCGTGGCTAGTCGTTTCCACTTGCATTGAGATATCGTCTCGGCTAGGCGGGACAAAACGGGGATCGTTGTGATGAAGGACCTGTGGAAATGGGTCAGTGCTTTAAAATATTCCACATTTATTATCGTAACAAACAGATTGAAAATTGTGGATATCGAAATACGAATTTTTATGGCATAGCAGTTGGTGTGAAATTTCCAGGAGGAGGCAGCGGAGATGTCTTTGTTGCTGCTTGAGGGGAGGATGGTACAAAAAAGAACGTGCTCGTTCTCAATGTCTGTGCTGAAGAAATAAATGTTGTTGATGTTGCTGCTACTGTTGTTGCTACTGTTTCCTCCAGCCCATTATTTGAAGTCGATGACGAATTTAACAATTTTTCATTCAATAAGCTTAAGCTAATATTCAGAAGTCTAATTTGCTCCTTTAGTTGATCGATATCACTAGAACGATTACAAACACACGATTTTGGGTACAGAAACAGAAGAAACAAAGAGGCACCTGCAGTTAATAACGCTACTACTGCCAATATCAACACAGCAGGCCAGCATCTTGCTTTGCTATTTTCACTTTGCGATTTCTCTTTCAAGATATCGTTGTTGCCAGAAATTATCGCTAAAGGAAGCTCTCCTTTTCTCTTATCCTCTCCATAGCTATGATGAACATCCTTATTTTCCTTATTTCCCGACCAGTTTTTATCACTGACAAAGTCGCTTTTGAATTTACGCTCTTTACCTGTATCTACATCGTCATAAATATCTGCTTCTTCAATATTGTTATTAGGCACGATCCTAAGGTAATCTTCTTTTCCATAATCAACTGCTGTTGCTAATTGCGTTTGATTCCTTCCCTGTAAGTTGCCTGTACGTCCTATAGCTGCGTCGTGTTTTAGGTTTCGGTCTGGTATCGGGGGAAGCTCGTAACTTTCGATTTGCTTCGGCCTTGCTCGCAGACCTTGGTATTGATTGCTTTCCCCTTCGTTAATTGATACTTTTATTGCATTTTGATTGGTAAGAGGAGTCACGTAGCTTTCTAAATATTCTTCGGTGTCCTCATAAATTGGTGAGTCTGCTGCCATTTCTGTGGCTTAGGCCTCACGAAAGGCAATGAATAGAAACGAAAACAATCTCACTCTTTGCTTGTGTCTTCCATCGCCCACTTCCCTTGTATTCAATGCCTCTCTGCGGGCTCTTATGAACGTGAAGTCTGAATTGGCAAACAAAAAGGTTTTGTAATACCTTTTGTCTAATTTGGTAAAGAGCGTTAGTATTTAAACACTTAATATTTGTTTGTCGGGTATCTTCGGTAACCAGACCGGTTTTCTCGCAAAAATATGAATAGTTAGGCCTTTGTGATGAAAGTGAAAATATTTGTGGCAGTCATGTTAAGTTGTTTATTTTTTCCTCCTTGATGCACACCTACAACATTTTCCCGTTTTGAAAGGCGAACACTTATGAAAAAATTATATCTTTGAACCTTTGAACCAATAACCTGAAATAAATATTCCTAGCACATTTTTGCAGATTTGATTGTCGTAATTGAATTCTTCCTCCCAGTAAAAATCTTTTTTCCTCTAATGTTTTCCTTGTATTGACTCATGGAAATATAATATGCTCTAGTTTCTTGCGCCAACGCATATGAAGGATTAACGCTATTAACCAATCAACTAAGAAGAATGAGTCACATGTTTCGAATATCTAGGATCATAAACGGGAAGTTTCGCTAGAAGCGATTTGCACGGTTTGCTGTTCTCGTAAAACATGTTAGGATCTTTAAATGATATAGAACTAGCAAAGGAAAGAGGCTGTTTGTGAGATGTACTTTCAGAAATCTATCACTACCTTAATTTTGCATAGAACATGTTAGATTTCAATAATTTATTGGCCTCGCCGAACAGTCCAATGCAAAACCTTGTTTCTCTATAAAATTTATATTCTATTCTCTGACCCCCAACTTGGAGGCAAACTACAGTCTTTTTCCTTGTGGGGCATGCTCTAGTGCTATAATTTGCGTGTTTGTTTTGGCATGAAAATGAATCGTGAGTCAAAAATGCATCGTCCAAACGTTTTGACTCGTGAGTCAAAAACTCATGTAACTTTGACTCACGAGTCAGACGCAAGGAAAAAGCGCATCGTGTAAACTGGCCTTCAATTGC